ACAGGCAGAACCCGGGATGTAACATGACAGGCAGAACCTGGGATGCAACATGGCAGCACATGGGACAACATGACAGGCAGAAACCTGGGATGTAACATAGCAGCACATGGGACAACATGACAGGCAGAACCTGGGATGTAACATGACAGGCAGAAACCTGGGATGCAACATAGCAGCACATGGGACAACATGACAGGCAGAACCTGGGATGTAACATGACAGGCAGAACCTGGGATGTAACATGACAGGCAGAACCTGGGATGTAACCTGGGATGTAACATGACAGGCAAAACCTGGGATGTAACATGACAGGCAGAACCTAGGATGTAACATGACAGGCAGAACCCGGGATGTAACATGACAGGCAGAACCTGAAATGCAACATGGCAGCACATGGGACAACATGACAGGCAGAAACCTGGGATGCAACATAGCAGCACATGGGACAACATGACAGGCAGAACCTGGGATGTAACATGACAGGCAGAACCTGGGATGTAACATGACAGGCAGAACCTGGGATGTAACAAGACAGGCAGAACCTGGGATGTAACATGACAGGCACAACCTGGGATGTAACATGACAGGCAGAACCTAGGATGTAACATGACAGGCAGAACCTGGGATGTAACATGACAGGCAGAACCTAGGATGTAACATGGCAGCACATGGGACAACATGACAGGCAGAACCTGGGATGTAACATGACAGGCAGAACCTGGGATGTAACATGACAGGCAGCACATGGGACAACATGACAGGCAGAAACCTGGGATGCAACATGGCAGCACATGGGACAACATGATAGGCAGAACCTGGGATGCAACATGGCAGCACACGGGACAACATGACAGGCAGAACCCGGGATGTAACATGACAGGCAGAAACCTGGGATGCAACATGGCAGCACATGGGACAACATGACAGGCAGAACCTGGGATATAACATGGCAGCACATGGGACAACATAACAGGCAGAACCCGGGATGTAACATGACAGGCAGAAACCTGGGATGCAACATGGCAGCACATGGGACAACATGACAGGCAGAACCCGGGATGTAACATGACAGGCAGAACCTGGGAGGTAACATGGCAGCACATGGGACAACATGACAGGCAGAACCCAGGATGTAACATGACAGGCAGAAACCTGGGATGTAACATGGCAGCACATGGGACAACATGACAGGCAGAACCCGGGATGTAACATGACAGGCAGAACCTGGGATGTGACACATGGGATGTAACAGCAGCACTGGGACACAACATACAGGCAGAACCTGGGATGCAACATAGCAGCACATGGGACACAACATGACAGCACTTGGGACCACATGACAGAAAGAATATGAAAAACATGTGGGGGGGGGGGGGGTGGGGGGTGGGGGGGGGGGAACAAATAATACATTAGTATTAAAAACACATACAGGTTATACATAGTATTATATAGCAGAAAGTAAACTATGACAGCCACACTTGGTCCCTATCACAATGCCACCAGAGAACACTGGTCACATGTCAGATAAAATGCTGGAGAAATTCTGCTGGGAATGACAAACAACATCAGAAGTGTGAGCATAAAATCATAAATCAAATGTGCTCTGGACATCTGATGACAGATAAACCAGATGAACTAACAATTTGAAAAACAAAGCATCACACTCCGGTGTCCATATAAGGGCTTGAAGGTGGAGTCTTTTGTCTTATCCATTCTGAGTGCCGATGTAGTACAATTACCATTTAGCCCCCATCGTAAAACATCCTTTGTTTTAGAATCAGACAATTACATCATGGATAGACAATATTAAACACACATACTAAATAGCAGATTTGATTAAAGCAAGGCAATACATCTGGCCTTGGAAGCAGCACAGACTTTGCCAGACCTGACAGCAGAAGCCAGCCACGAGGAGACCCCGCCCCAGGCAAAAACGACAGTCCATTTTAGGGCTGGCAGATCCACTCCCGAAAAAAAAACAGAAACCGCCCGCCAAGCCTAACCACGCATAACATGATGCAGCAGCAAACTTAGGCGAAAATGATCCAATGACTCTTAAGCAGTAGACCCAGGTTCAAATCCTTGTTAAGGCTCTGCATGTTTTGTTCTGTCAGGGGCAAAGTGAAATCCTCACCTGCGCAGTTGTGGTGCCAGCACTAGCCATGCGGCCGTAAATCCTCAGTCTCAAAGACCCCCCTGCCTACACCACAAAAGTGGTATAAAAAAGCAGAAATTTGCATTTTTTGTTTGTTGTTGCTGTTGCTCCTTGTTAAATTTAGTAGAATAGCCCTGGTCTCTGTACTACCCGGATCACAAACGAACCAGACATCAATGTTTAACTTAACCAGATTTCAACATGGAAATAAGTGGAATGATGCTACACATAGGGATATAATATATAATAGGATCAGCAACTGTCATACGTTGCAAGTCCATTCCTGATTTTTTCCCCTATGTATGCAAAATTATTTACAATAAAGGCATCAGTTGTGTGTGTAAATATGTGGTGACTAAACACCATTTTACTGTTCTATGCTTAATTTACATATAAGTAAAGTAAAGAACCCTTTTCCACGACTTATAGGGCATATAGGGTTAGACCTATATTTTTATAGACCAATCGGCACAAGATGGGTGATGTGGTCAACATCACGCCGGCCACCTTTACTTCCTGGGACTGCACCCGGTACCCACTCGAGGCTGGGTGGGTCGACCTGAGTGATTTACATATATTCACATTTAACTTCTCTTGTGAATACAGCGCTACACCTACTTAACTTCCTCCTGTTAACAGATGAACACATGCAAACTACACTACACTTCTCCTGCTGATGTATGGATACACCCATACTACACTTCTCCTTCTGATGTATGGATACACCTATACTAAACTTCTCCTGCTGATGTATGGATACACCCATACTAAACTTCTCCTTCTGATGTATGGATACACCCACACTAAACTTCTCCTTCTGATGTATGGATACACCCACACTAAACTTCTCCTGCTGATGTATGGACATACCAACACTAAACTTCTCCTGCTGATGTATGGACACACCCACACTAATCTTCTCCTGGTAATTTATGGACACATCCACACTAAACTTCTCCTGGTGATGTATGGATACACTAACACTAAACTTCTTCTGATTTATGGATACGCCCACACTAAACTTCTCCTGGTGATGTATGGATACACTGACACTAAACTTCTCCTGCTGATGTATAGACACACCAACATGAAACCCCACACTAAACTTCTCCTGGTGATGTATGGACACACCAACATTCAACTCCTGGTAATGTGTGGATAAATTTACAGTAAACTTCTCCTGGTAACAGAGACGTACATTTCAATAATCATCTCGGACGTATATCTAACAGTAAACTTCTTCAGAATCTACATGGATGCATTTTGGCTACAATTATCCTGAAATGTACAAACATGTTTACACTGAATTAATCTGCGGGAGATTACAGATACAACTACACAATACGAAATTTATCCGTGGATGTACAGACACATCAGGTCAAACAATATGAAGTAGTTGACACTGCTCAGCAGCACACTGGTGACCTACATACAGCACAAAAAACAATACATATACAAACATCAGCAAGGTTTCTGAATAGAAATTTGTGTTAACTAGTCACAGCCTCAGGCACAACACTCTGTGCACTATTACATCACATACCGACTCTTGTGACACAGCACATATCCAACATTCAGTTATGCAGACACAGCACACATCCAACATTCAGTTATGTAGGCACAGCACACATCCAACATTCAGTTATGTAGGCAACATTCAACATTCAGTTATGTAGACACAGCACACATCCAACATTCAGTTATGTAGGTATGGCATACATCCAACATTCAGTTATGTAGGTACGGCATACATCCAACATTCAGTTATGTAGGCACAACATACATCCAACATTCAGTTATGTAGGTATGGCATACATCCAACATTCAGTTATGTAGGCACAGCATACATCCAACATTCAGTTATGTAGGCACAGCATACATCCAACATTCAGTTATGTAGGCACGGCATACATCCAACATTCAGTTATGTAGGCACAGCATACATCCAACATTCAGTTATGTAGGCACAGCATACATCCAACATTCAGTTATGTAGGTATGGCATACATCCAACATTCAGTTATGTAGGCACAGCACACATCCAACATTCAGTTATGTAGGTACGGCATACATCCAACATTCAGTTATGTAGGTATGGCATACATCCAACATTCAGTTATGTAGGCACAACACACATCCAACATTCAGTTATATAGACACAGCACATTTCCAACATTCAGTTATGTTGACAGGGTGTACATTCAACATTCAGTTTTGCTGACACAGCAAACAACCAACATTTAGTAATGTTGGTACAGCACACATCCAACATTCAGTTGTATCTGTCTCCAGTATGTTTAGTCACAGCCTCCACTGTCTAGAAGTCACATATCATACTGAAATTGTGTGATGAGACACAAATCCAACATTCAGTTGTGTTTGTCTCCAATACATATGTAGTCTCACAGCCTCGAGTACAACATTCTGCACCCTATATACAAGCCATTTACTACTTCTGTGTGACACAGCACACATCCAACATTCAGTTATGCTGACACCGCACATGTCCAACATTCAGTTATGTTGACACATCACATGTCCAACATTCAGTTATGCTGAAACAGCAGACGTCCAAAAATCAGTTACGTCTGCAAGCAAGATACCTCTCCCCCCCCCCCCCCATGATATTTTTGTGTGCGTATCAGATTCTTTTCTAGTTTGCTTCCATTGACTAGAGGAACTCTTTCATTCATGAATTTCTCTCAAAACAAGTTTCATTAACTTCTTTCACTTGGTCTAGCTTCATCAATTTCTCTCTTGTGACTCAGCACACATCCAACATTCAGTTATGTAGTTTTATTAGTATCTCTCACATAATCCAGTCATGATATCTACTGTGTGCCTCTCAGATTCTCTTGAGCTGTTTGCTTCCATTGACTAGAGGAACTCTTTCATCATCATCATCTATAAACATCCGTACTTTGTGGACTAGGGGTTTCAGCCATAACCATGTACAACTCTACAGAACCATGTACAACTCTTCAGAATCATGTACAACTCTACAAAAACCATGTACAACTCTGCAGAGCCATGTAAAACTCTACAAAAACCATGTACAACTCTACAGAACAATGTACAACTCTATAGAACAATGTACAACTCTATAGAACCATGTACAACTCTACAAAAACCATGTACAACTCTATAGAACAATGTACAACTCTATAGAACCATGTACAACTCTACAAAAACCATGTACAACTCTACAGAACCATGTACAACTCTTCAGAACAGCGTACAACTCTACAGAACCATGTACAACTCTACAAAAACCAGGTACAACTCTACAAAAACCATGTACAACTCTACAGAACAATGTACAACTCTACAGAACAATGTACAACTCTACAAAAACCATGTACAACTCTACAGAACAATGTACAACTCTACAGAACAATGTACAACTCTACAAAAACCATGTACAACTCTACAGAACAATGTACAACTCTACAGAACCATGTAAAAATCTACAAAAACCATGTACAACTCTATAGAACAGCATACAACTCTACAGAACCATGTACAACTCTACAAAAACCATGTACAACTCTTCAGAACAGCGTACAACTCTACAGAACCATGTACAACTCTACAGAACAATGTACAACTCTACAGAACAACTTAAAACTCTACAGAACAACAATTGTACAAGACATCGTCAAATTGTACAGAACAGTCATGGTACAACTGTGTGGTACTCTTGTAGTGTAGTTAGTTAGTTGAGTTATCATCACTACACTCCAGACATGTCCATAGGTGCTCAGATCCTCCTCTCAGTATGAACTCCGGCATCCTGTGGCTAATGGTACCAGTTCTATGTTGATTAACAAGTCCTCTGATATGCCTGGTGTGTGTCTCATTTTTTGCTATGCCGATCTCAACTCCCAAGTCTATCATTCTGGTGAGTGATGTGGACTCACTGCCACCAAAGTTCTCCACCCTTCCCATTTCTCGCAAGACATTAATAATATCGGCATGATCCGTAGGTTGACTTCGGCGGTGATAGCGGATTCAGCCAACCTATCAGCTCTTTCATTCCCATCGAAACCTGCGTATCCTGAAATGAAAATAAAGTGACTCCACGCCCAGTGGACTTCTGTAATGACTCAAACCACTTCCTTCACACCGAATCTGCCTGAACCTGCTTTAGCCTGAACCTGCTTAGTGTACAGAACAACAAACACATGACTCACCGAAGCCCCCTCCTTCTTTTGTCATTGAGCCGCCAGTCGGTGCCGTTTTCATCGTCCATGATGTCCAGCAGTTGCTGCTCATAGTTGGAGTCGATTGGGCCAATGGAGATGTCCCTGACTGCCCGGAACTGACCACAGTTGTTCAAGTGCTCATTCTCCAATCGAAAAAAGTTCCAGACAAATCGTCTGCAAGTCAATCACAGACTTTCTGATTTTATACAAATTTAAAATGTTTGCAATGTATAAAATATACATCTCCAACATGCAAAAAAATATACTATTTGTATGAAATATACATCTCCAACATACAAAAAATATAATAATTGTATGAAATATACATCTCTTACATGTAAAGATTATAGACTCATACACATGTATAAAATATTCATCTTTTACATTTCTAAACTATACTGCTGTATGTATAAACTATACTGTTGTATGTATAAACTATACTGCTGTATGTATAAACTATAAAAAGTAAGTGAAAGTAAAGGACCTTTCTCCATGCCTTTAGGCGTATAGGGCATATAGGGCTAGACCTATATTTTATAGCCCAATCGGCACAAGATGGGTGATGTGGTCAACACCACGCCGGCCACCTTTACTTCCCGGCACTGCAGCCGGTACCCACTCAAGGCTTGGTTGACCTGGGGTACAAACTATACATCTAATATATGTATAAATTATAAATCTGCTGACGATTCAAAACAAACATCTTCTACATGTATAAACTATACATCCCATACATGTATAAACTATACATCCCATACATGTATAAACTATACATTCCCTACATGTATAAACTATACATCCACTACATGTATAAACTATACATCCACTACATGTATAAACTATACATTCCCTACATGTATAAACTATACATCCACTACATGTATAAACTATACATCCACTACATGTATAAACTATACATCCACTACATGTATAAACTATACATCCCATACATGTATAAACTATACATCCCATACATGTATAAACTATACATCCACTACATGTATAAACTATACATTCCATACATGTATAAACTATACATCCCATACACGTATAAACTATACATCCCTTACACGTATAAACTATACATCCACTACATGTATAAACTATACATCCCATACATGTATAAACTATACATCCACTACATGTATAAACTATACATCCCATACATGTATAAACTATACATCCACTACATGTATAAACTATACATCCCCTACATGTATAAACTATACATCCACTACATGTATAAACTATACATCCCATACATGTATAAACTATACATCCACTACATGTATAAACTATACATTCCCTACATGTATAAACTATACATCCCATACATGTATAAACTATACATCCACTACATGTATAAACTATACATCCCATACATGTATAAACTATACATCCACTACATGTATAAACTATACATTCCCTACATGTATAAACTATACATCCCATACATGTATAAACTATACATCCACTACATGTATAAACTATACATCCCATACATGTATAAACTATACATCCACTACATGTATAAACTATACATTCCCTACATGTATAAACTATACATCCCATACATGTATAAACTATACATCCCCTACACGTATAAACTATACATTCCCTACATGTATAAACTATACATTCCCTACATGTATAAACTATACATCCCCTACATGTATAAACTATACATCCACTACATGTATAAACTATACATTCCCTACAGGTATTAACTGTACATCTCCTACATGTAATGTTTAAAATTCTTCCTGCATATACTGAGTGCATACAATTTATCTTACATGTATTGTATAAAATATACATTTCATACATTATTTTATATAATAAACATTTCTTGTTTGTGTTTCATATGATATACACTGCATATATTGAGGACAATGAATATGTATCTCTCATTTGTACTGTATAAAATATATTCTGCAAATATGTTGGCCAAGGAAGATCACAAATGAAAAACTGAGTACGAAAAACACTGGCAAATGGTACCAAAGGAAGAAGATGGTGTTGGTTTGGATGTATTTGCAGAGAATGCCTTGTGACGCTCTACGATGGATGACAGGTGGAGAAAGGAGACATAGACCATACAAGTAAAACTGGCAATGGGCAGCTCTCCGATGAATGACAGGCAGCAGAGAAAGAAGACATAGACCACAGAAGTATACCTGGCTGATGGGCAGCTCTACGATGGATGACAAGCGGAGAAAGGAGACACAGACCACATAACCTAGAGGGCTGCATGGTCTTGAGGCATGACATCAACCTTGAGTGCTAGCTAGAGGTCCTGGGTTCAATTCCTGGTAAGGGCTGGGATTTTTTCACGTGGACTTGGACTTCTAGTAATTTCCCCTGGTCTCTGGGTAGTGAGATCGGACACCCGTGTGCACTGTTGCGCATGTAAAAAATCTCTTGGCAGTTGGAAACCGAAAAGAGTAGTCTAACGGCGCTGCCCGGACAAAATTTAGAATTAAAAATCTACCCAAAGTATTTCAGGATCCTCGCCGTTGCTACAGAACTTGTGCACTGTGATGAGCTTCTTCGGACTCAGACTTGAGTTAGAAAAAGAACGGAGCACTTATGGGTTACTACCAGTGTGCCATAATGTTGGTCCATTGCTCAAAACATCAAACAATGACTTACCTGAACACCTCTAGGCAGGAGAACAATGTGCTGAGAATGTGAGAATTGTACAAGAGTCCCTCTGCTACAGAAACCGTCAAAGTCCAGAGAAAGCGCAGAACCAGATCCTCGGCCATGGCAAAGAAAGAGCCATTTAGCCCCGTGGCTTTGATGTCCCTGAGTTCCCCATCCATTTTGATAACAGGAGCTGATTACAGCTGCCGCAATCCACAGGTAGAAAAACACAGAGGCCTGCCGATATTGGGCCCCATACAGTTCTGTCAATGAGGAAACAGCAGGTCAGTAAGCAGTGAACACAATCTTCTCAAACATTTTTGCATAGGGAAACAGCCAGTCAGTCAGCAGTCAACACAACGGGGAAACAGCCAGTCAGTCGGCAGTCAACACAATCTTCTCAAACATCTGTCAATGGGGAAACAACCAGTCAGTCGGCAGTCAACACAACAGGGAAACAGCCATTTAGTCAGAAGTCAACACAATCTTCTCAAACATCTGTCAATGGGGAAACAGCCAGTCAGTCGGCAGTCAACACAATGGGGAAACAGCCAATCAGTCGGCAGTCAACACAATGGGGAAACAGCCAGTCAGTCAGCAGTCAACACAATCTTCTTAAACATCTGTAAATGGGCAAATAGCCAGTCATCAAATGGAAAATTAAATGGAATGTCCCTCACTGTCGCATTTGAAAAAAATTAGTGAACAACAATTAGTCCTGGCAAGATCCAGAAAAATGCCAGCACAGTAAATGCATATTTCAGTTGCTAGAAGCACCAAAGCCAACAATCGCCACCAGAAATGCAGTTTGTCGTTGATGGAAGTAGTCGGGCACGGTAAGTTGGTTGTACACATTTAGAATTATTACATAAGGTATTTTACCAGCTCACAAGTAAACCGGCTACCGGCCATATTAAATACCACGACAAAAACGCTGCACAAATGAAAGTCATACCACAGGAAAAACAAAGCTCACAGTGCTGCATCAAACACTTAACTCAGTAGCTCAGGCAGCGGAAACATAGACTGCTATCCATATGTGAAAACTGCATTAGCAAAGCGCTGTTGGAAGCAAAAATAACTTCGAAGCTCAACATTCTGCCGTGCCTAATCCTCCATTTTAGGCCAGAAGTTGCCTCAGAGATATGGGTAGGGGCTGTATATTTAGTGATGGTTGATTGCTTGTTCGCTTGGCTAGTTAGTTACATTTGTTGGCTGGTTGGTTACATTTGTTGGCTGGTTGGTAGATCTGAGCTCACTGGTCTTCCTCTGCCTCTCTCCCAAGTTTCTAGTCACAACTCCCTAACTGCCATGCTGTACCAGGCCACTATCTTACAAATGTCAGAAATTTAAAAGCAACAGTCCTAATATAATTTACAGATCTATTTGTGCAAAAATCTAGGCGTGCAAAGATCTATGTGTGCCACATACACCTTATACAATGTAAAGAATAGAACATTCCTATGATTCTCATACACATCTCATACAACGCAGAAAATATTACATGTCTATGGTACTCACATCTTGTTTAAACACAGAGAAGAGAATTTTGCTTATAATACCTATTTATATCTTATAAAAACAAACATAGAATGTGTCAATGATACTCTTATCTTGTTTAACATGGAGAAAAGAATATGGCTTATGATACTCACATATATCTTGTACAACACAGAGAAGAGAATATGGCTTATGATACCAACATATATTTCATACAACACAGAGAAGAGAATATGTCTTAAACACTCACCCACGTGCACCTTGTACAATGTGGAGAAGAGCACAACAAAAAAGGTTGTAGAATATTTGCCAGCGTTGACAATGTGAGGAAATATTAACTTGGTGTCCCTGTAACGTCGCAGGCACTGGGCGAACCGGAACCAGGCTGGCAGGCAGGCAACTATGGCGCGGACACCAAACTTATGCTGGTTACACACATTGCCGGCTGTAGAACACAACATTAACCACACATTATCTATATGCTGTATCAACAAACATCATACATGTAACATCACATATTCCCCCTAGTTGTAGAACACAACATTAACCACACATTATCTATATGCTGTATCAACACACATCATACATGTATCATCACATATTACCCCTAGTTATAGAACACAACACCAACCACACATTATCTATATGCTGTATCAACAAACATCATACATGTATCATCACATATTACCCCTAGTTGTAGAACACAACATCAACCACACATTATCTATATGCTGTATCAACAAACATCATACATGTATCATCACATATTGCCCATAGTTGTAGAACACAACATCAACCACACATTATCTATATGCTGTATCAACAAACATCATACATGTATCATCACATATTGCCTTTAGTTGTAGAACACAACATCAACCACACATTATCTATATGCTGTATCAACAAACATCATACATGTATCATCACATATTACCCCTAGTTGTAGAACACAACACCAACCACACATTATCTATATGATGTATCAACAAACATCATACATGTAACATCACATATTACCCCTAGTTGTAGAACACAACATCAACCACACATTATCTATATGCTGTATCAACAAACATCATACATGTATCATCACATATTACCCCTAGTGGTAGAACACAACACCAACCACACATTATCTATATGCTGTATCAACAAACATCATACATGTATCATCACATATTCCCCCTAGTTGTAGAACACAACACCAACCACACATTATCTATATGCTGTATCAACAAACATCATACATGTATCATTACATATTCCCCCTAGTTGTAGAACACAACATCAACCACACATTATCGATATGTTGTAAGAACATCTTGTGCAATATATCCTTGTCATTGAGAGTTAGAAAAAGAATTTTTGCTTGCTACATACATCCAGTTTTAACATATGGCTGTGAGTCCTGAACAATCAGTAGGCAGGCCAAACAATTTTTCGAGACCTCAGAGATTTGGTTTTACAGAAGAATGCTTAGAATACCTTGGACAGCCAAAAAGAGCAACCAAGAGGTTTTGAAAGAGGCGGGAGCCCGAAGACAATTTATCGCAGACATCAGAAGGAGACAGTCATCATTTTGTGGCCATGTTATGAGAAGAGGAAAAATAGAGCATGTTGTGACCACTGGAAAGATCTGTGAAGGGAGGGATAGAGGAAGACAGCGAGAGAAGATTCTTGACAGTCTTGTTGCAGGGCATGGAGGTGTGTCGGCGCACGAACAGATACATGCTGCAGGAGACGGCAGATTGTGGAGAGGCATGATCGCCCATGGCAGTCGGCAAGGCACCTGATGATGATGATGATGATGTATCAACAAACATCAAACATGTATTATCACATATTCCCCTAGTTGTAGAATAACAACATGAACCACAAACTAATAATGAAACTATCAGGCTAATTGTGGGAACGACACCTTGTACTAGATTCATCGAGAAACAGCAGATCAAGTGGTTTGGCCATCTAGTTAGAATGCAGCAAGATCAAATACCATCACAAGCACTACATCTCAAAAGATCAGCTACAAGAGCAAGAGGACGGCCGCAGAAAATATGGATCAACAATATTAAAGACACTCTATACCTTCATGTCATGACAATAGCCAGTGGCAGCCAGCGTGCACTGGATCGCAAATTATTCCTCCCCACGACACTTAACGGTTTATGATGATGATGACCACCACAAATTATCTATATGTAATGATAACTTCGACTGGTGTATAGACATGACCTTTCTTTGCAAAATATTCACAGCAAGTTGCAATTTCTTTCTGTAACAGCAAGGGGGCTGAGTGGTCTCCAGGCATGGTGTCTGCCTCGTGTGCTAGAGATCCCTGGTTCAATCCCCGGTAAGGGCTGGGATTTTTTCACGTGAACTTGAAATCTAGTAAATCCCCGTGGTCTCTGGGTAGTGAGATCGGATGCCCGTGTGCATTGTTGCAGACGTAAAAAAAAATCCCTTGGCAGTGGGAAATTGAAAAGAATAGGCTAACGACACTGCCTGGGCAAAATCTGGAGTTAAAAATCTACCCAAAGTATTTCAGGATCCTCGCCGGTGCTACAGAGCCTGACTGGAGTTAGAAGTACGGAGCACTTATGCCATACCCGTGTGGCATGAAGTTGATCCGTTGTTGACAATTCAAACTTCTGTAAGAGAAGTGCCCATACCGGGCAGGTTGTCCTAGCCATTGTGCCTATAGAAGCATCCTCTGCCTGGCACAGTTAAAGTGATGACCAGTACTGAAAACTTCTCAACTGCTCACCACTTTTATCCATCACCTGCCTGCCACGACTTCAGACTTCTCCTGCTTGGTATTTTCTATTTCTTCAGCCTGGTATTTTCTTTCTATCCAGCCTGGTATTTTCTATCTCTCCTGTCTGGTATTTTCTATCTCTCCTGTCTGGTATTTTCTGCCACTCCTGTCTGGTATTTTCTATCTCTCCTGTCTGGTATTTTCTATCTCTCCTGTCTGATATTTTCTGCCTCTCCTGCCTGGTATTTTCTATTTCTCCTGTCTGGTATTTTCTCTCTCCTGTCTGGTATTTTCTGCCTCTAATGTCTGGTATTTTCTGTCTCTCCTGTCTGGTATTTTCTATCTCTTCTGTCTGGTATTGTCTGCCTCTCCTGTCTGGTATTTTCAGCCTCTCTTGTCTTTTTTTTTTCTGCCTCACCTGCCTAGTATTTTCTGCCTCTCCAGTCTGATGTTTTCCCGACACTAAAGCTAAGATCTGTATACCACCTGTACTGCTGGTATGTTCCATAAATGTCTCTACTTCCCATGTCTGTCTCTATCTCTACACTATAATATGAAGCAAAATTTCACAATGTAAAGAGCGGAACTAATAAATTTAAAAAATTTAAAAAATGATAAAATACAGAATACCCAAAAGTTCAACAATCTATCACTGACTGCTTCATGCACCACTCACACAAAGATGACTTACAGTTGGTGCCCAGCCACTCCACCTGGAAGGCATAGAAGCAGATGAGGAACTCCAAGTCCAACAACACAGTCACCAGGCTGTTCAACTGGTCAGCCAACCAGAAATCTGCAAATCCCACATGATGGAATGGGGCCGTGAAGATCCGGAACTGTCAAGAAACAGTTCAACATTAGCACAATATGTGGCTGGCATTTGATTAATATAGTATATATCAGACAGACACACAAGCACACTGCCATTCTTCCTACATATTCTAGACAGACACACAAGCGCACTGCCATTCTCCCTGCATATTCTAGACAGACACACAAATTCCTTCTGACAGTATCCCCTAGATAGAAAACACATACACATATACTCCCATTCACATGAACCGAGCCACGCATGAACCCTGCAGCAAGAGCTCTGCAGCAAATTAATCCTACAGCACACAAACCCAGCAGCACATGAATCCTAAAGCACACAAACCCAGCAGCACATGAACCCTGCAGCACATGAATCCTAAAGCACACAAACCCAGCACCACATGAATCCTATAGCACACAAACCCAGCAGCACATAAACCCTGCAGCACAAGAACTCTGCAGCACATGAATCCTACAACACACAAACCCAGCAGCACACAAACCCAGCAGCACATGAACCCTGCAGCACAAGAACTCTGCAGCACATGAATCCTAGAGCACACAAACCCAGCAGCACATGAACCCTGCAGCACAAGAGCTCTGCAGCACATGAATCCTACAGCACACAAACCAAGCAGCACATGAACCCTGCAGCACATGAATCCTAAAGCACACAAACCCTGCAGCACAAGAGCTCTGCAGCACATGAATCCTATAGCACACAAACCCAGCAGCACATTAATCCTATAGCACACAAACCCAGCAACACATGAACCCTGCAGCACATGAATCCTACAGCACACAAACCCAGCAGCACATGAACCCTGCAGCACAAGAGCTCTGCAGCACATGAATCCTACAGCACACAAATCCAGCAACACATGAACCCTGCAGCACACTAACCCAGCAGCACATAAATTCTATAGCACAAAAACGCTGCAGCACAAGAACCCTGCAGCACAAGAACTCTGCAGCACATGAATCCTATAGCACACAAACCCTGCAGCAAAAAAGAACCCTGCAGCACATGAATCCTATAGCACACAAACCCAGCAGCACATGAACCCTGCAGCACAAGAACTCTGCAGCACATGAATCCTATAGCACACAAACCCAGCAGCACATGAACCCTGCAGCACATGAATCCTATAGCACACAAACCCAGCAGCACAAAAATTCTATCGCACAAAAACGCTGCAGCACAAGAACTCTGCAGCACATGAATCCTATAGCACACAAACCCTGCAGCAAAAAAGAACCCTGCAGCACATGAATCCTATAGCACACAAACCCAGCAGCACATGAACCCTGCAGCACATGAACCCTGCAGCACAAGAACTCTGCAGCACATGAATCCTATAGCACACAAACCCAGCAGCACATGAATCCTATAGCACACAAACCCAGCAGCACATGAACCCTGCAGCACATGAATCCTATAGCACACAAACCCAGCAGCACATGAACCCTGCAGCACATGAATCCTATAGCACACAAACCCAGCAGCACATGAACCCTGCAGCACAAGAGCTCTGCAGCACATGAATCCTACAGCACACAAATCCAGCAACACATGAACCCTGCAGCACATAAATTCTATAGCACAAAAACGCTGCAGCACAAGAACCCTGCAGCACATGAATCCTATAGCACACAAACCCTGCAGCAAAAAAGAACCCTGCAGCACATGAATCCTATAGCACACAAACCCAGCAGCACATGAACCCTGCAGCACAAGAACTCTGCAGCACATGAATCCTATAGCACACAAACCCAGCAGCACATGAACCCTGCAGCACATGAATCCTATAGCACACAAACCCAGCAGCACAAAAATTCTATAGCACAAAAACGCTGCAGCACAAGAACTCTGCAGCACATGAATCCTATAGCACACAAACCCTGCAGCAAAAAAGAACCCTGCAGCACATGAATCCTATAGCACACAAACCCAGCAGCACATGAACCCTGCAGCACATGAACCCTGCAGCACAAGAACTCTGCAGCACATGAATCCTATAGCACACAAACCCAGCAGCACATGAACCCTGCAGCACATGAATCCTATAGCACACAAACCCAGCAGCACATGAACCCTGCAGCACATGAATCCTATAGCACACAAACCCAGCAGCACATGAACCCTGCAGCACAAGAGCTCTGCAGCACACAAATCCTATAGCACACAAACCCAGTAGCACATGAACCCTGCAGCACAAGAGCTCTGCAGCACAAGAGCTCTGCAGCACAAGAGCTCTGCAGCACATGAATCCTATAGCACACAAACCCAGCAGCACATGAACTCTGCAGCACATGAATCCTATAGCACACAAACCCAGCAGCACATGAACCCTGCAGCACAAGAACTCTGCAGCACATGAATCCTATAGCACACAAACCCAGTAGCACACAAACCCAGCAGCACATGAACCCTGCAGCACACAAATCCAGCAGCACATGAACCCTGCAGCACAAGAACACTGCAGCACAAGAATCCTACAGCACACAAACCCAGCAGCACATGAACCCTGCAGCACAAGAGCTCTACAGCACATTAATCCTACAGCACACAAACCCAGCAGCACAAGAACCTCGCAGAACATAAATCCTGTAGCATATGAATTCAGCTCAGATGAACCCTGCAGCACAAAGACCAAAAAACAAGAATACACTTTTCTTTGTCTGCATTCACAATGAAAGTTGGTGTGCTGGGTTGTGGTTTACAGCTAGGCTAGAGATATCTGCCCTTTTTGGCCCAACATATCCAATTCTGGCAAATCCCTGATTCCTTGCTGTGTAGTATAAGTTTGTCAGGAGGTAGTGAACCGTAACCCCCCCCCCCCTCCCCCACCCCCCATTAGGGAAAAACATTAATCAAACAAGTAATCTGACAAATAGAAAACAGAGGGAAACAATAAATAAATTAGCAACTACAACAAGCGGAATACAGAGGGAAACAATAAACAACCAAGCAACTACAACAAACAGAAAACAGAGGAAAACAATAAAGCAAATTAGCAACTACAACAAACAGAAAACAGAGTGAAACAATAAACAAACAAGCAACTACAACAACAAAGAGAAACAATAAACAAACAAGCAACTACAAAAAAAAACAGAACACAGAGGGAAACAATAAACAAACAAACAGCTACAACAACAAAGGGAAACAATAAACAAACAAGCAACAACAACGAACAGAAAACACAGCCACCCACCAATATCCTCAGCAGCCACATGCGGGCCCTGTAATAGAAAAACTTGAAGGGGTTGATGAGGGCCACAATGAGGAATGTGGCAAACGACAGAGGCATGGCCATCGGGGGGATGCCGATAAACTCACAGTACAGGTAGGAGATGACACTCAGCGCCCACATCACGGCCAGGAAGGATGCCAGCTGCCACAGAGAAACAACAACAGCCTGTCATCTCTCACCATCTGAGCTTCTGCTGACTCATACTTCAACCAAGAGCTGATCACTTTACTCTCTCTCTTTATCTATCGATCTATCTCTCTCTCTTTCTTTCTGTGCCTGTGTTTCTGTGAATAAAGGTATATATCTCTCTCTCTATCTCTCTTTCTTTCTGTGCCTGTGTTTCTGTGAATAAAGGTATATATCTCTCTCTCTCTTTCTTTCTGTGCCTGTGTTTCTGTGAATAAAGGTATATATCTCTCTATCTATCTCTCTTTCTTTCTGTGCCTGTGTTTCTGTGAATAAAGGTATATATCTCTCTCTCTCTTTCTTTCTGTGCCTGTGTTTCTGTGAATAAAGGTATATATCTCTCTCTTTCTTTCTGTGCCTGTGTTTCTGTGAATAAAGGTATACATCTCTCTCTCTCTATCTCTCTTTCTTTCTGGGCCTGTTTCTGTGAATAAAGGTATACATCTCTCTCTCTCTTTCTTTCTGTGCCTGTGTTTCTGTGTGAATAAAGGTATATATCTCTCTATCTATCTCTCTTTCTTTCTGTGCCTGTGTTTCTGTGAATAAAGGTATATATATATCTCTCTCTCTCTTTCTTTCTGTGCCTGTGTTTCTGTGTGAATAAAGGTATATATCTCTCTCTCTCTTTCTTTCTGTGCCTGTGTTTCTGTGAATAAAGGTATATATCTCTCTCTCTCTTTCTTTCTGTGCCTGTGTTTCTGTGAATAAAGGTATACATCTCTCTCTATCTCTCTTTCCTTCTGTGCCTGTTTCTGTGAATAAAGGTATATATTCTCTCTCTCTCTCTTTCTTTCTGTGCCTGTGTTTCTGTGTGAATAAAGGTATATCTCTCTCTCTCTCTCTCTCTCTCTATCAAGGTGAAGGTGGTGCTGACTCAGAGTTCATTGGCAACCGAGTCACCCACTGGATTGCCGGAAGAGGACTTCGTCGCCGGTCAGGACAGTATTTGGGTCTGCGTCCTTTGAGCACATCAACACTACATGTGTCCTTTTCAGGGCTCTTGGTGGAGTGCTGTGCTGAGCCATTTTATATGGCGCACATAACCTAGTCATAATTTCAGGGATGCTTGTTGAACATAAAAATTTTTTTAAGCAAAGCAACAGAAAGACTCACAGATCATATAAAAAGAAGTGACTGTGAGAGAGAATTACTGGTGTATCCAACGATCCAGACTCTCAGCAAACCAAGGATAAACTGGCATAGATACCCAGTCATGATATTTAAGTAGATCCTTTTGAGTTGAGTTAAGTCAAGAACTGATATCAAAGCACTCAAGGCATTCCTATGCATGCTACGTCCTCATCTTTAGCAGCCAGTGCAGAGTTTCAATACTGATGGTACCGGTCACAAACTGGTTATATGTTCATCTTGCCTCTCCTATGAGTGTAGTGACTTGCCAGACCCTCTGTTTACACCCAGGTGCCTCATTCTCTCCAGGCTAAGTAGATCCAGAAGACAAACCAACACAGTCCATGACACACAAGGTCAGACCACCATTGCTTCTGCCATGAAATGTGTATGTGTGTATGTATACATCTCTGCTTTCATGCATACAACCATCACATAACCACACAATGTACTCTGAAAGCAGGATGATTCTGTAACAGTCTGGCATGTGGAGACATTTCTGTGAATGCTGAAATAATAATGTCAAGTTCTCCCTTTTCTCCTTCATACAACAATTTCAGAGCAAGCAATGATTTCTTCTACAAAATTTGCATGTAATCATGTATCCATTTCCTTTTTTTTTTCATGCCCATTTGAATTTTTATCTGGTTTACTTTATGCGCTCCAAAGCAAGGACTGCCTAGAGAAATAACAGTGTCATCCACCCCCCCCCCCCCCCACCCCCCAGTTGGTTCTTCTTCTGCCTCCCCCCTAAAAGTGGCAGTTGGCACACTGCAGGGTGTTCTACAGTCTTAGTCGAGGTTTCAACTTCACTGCAATCAGGTTTCTCACACCCGCTCTGTTCTTGTGCCAGTGAAAATCAAACCTACACAAACTGGACAAAATACAGAACACTGGTCTCAGAATCATCACTGGAGGTATGAGAAGCACACCAGTCAATGAGCTGGAGGCAACTTCTGGCCTCCAGAGCTTGAGCCCTCGAAGGGAAGAAAAGATGCTTACCCTAACAGAAAAATGTAAATGCATGAACAACAACCCCATGCACAGAATAGCAAACAACTTAACTAAAAACAAACTGAAAAGACATAGCTTTCACCATCTATCAAAACTGTACTGAGCCAAAAAAAACAGTGACATCCTTTCGAAAGATCCTTTAATGTGGGAAATGATCCAGGCATACAGCTTAGACCTACAGTCTAACTATACAGGCACAACAACAATTCCAGGCATAGACAGAAAGGTTGAAGAATGTGACCTAATATGCATGCAAAGACATGTCTACAACTCTTACCCAAAATCAAATGAAATGTTCCTCACTGTGACATTTGAAAAACTGGTGAACAAACTATCAGTCCCAGAACAATCCAGAAATATGTGCATGCAGTAAATGCAAAAGACAGTTGCTAGAGGCACCAAAGCCAACAGTTGCCACCAGAAATGCAGTTTGTCGTTGATGGAAGTAGTCGTGCATGATAAGTCGGCTACTATACACACGTAGAATTATTACATGAAGTATTTCACCAGCTCACAGTTAAACCGGCCACCAGCCATATCTAATATCACGACATAACCACTGCACAAATGAAAGGCATTCCATATGAAAAACACAGCCCACAGGACTGCATTCAGCAGCTCAGCCAGCGAAACCACAGACTACCGCCCAAATGTGGGAACTTCATTAGCAAAGCACCTTCAGAAGCAAAAATAACCTCAAAGCTTAACATTCTTATCCTCCATTTTAGCCTCAAGTCCCTGGCTGTAATTTGTGCAGCTTTTGGCCTACCACATCTGATTTTAGCAACACCCACAATTAGTTGCCTTGTGACAATCTTGTGAAGAAGCAGTACGTCTATTCTCGGTCCCCCTAACAAGTAGCCCCATTATCCACACAGGGAATATTTGTACAGTAATCCCACTTAAGACAGTTAAGGAATAGACAGACCCATGGGGAGTCACAATAAACCAAACCAAAACTGTCTCAACTCTCTTCTCTCTTTCCACAAAGCCAGAACAAGTTGATCTGTACCTAGAAGGCAACATCCTCCCAAAAGAGGACAACCCCACATATTTGGGAGTAACATTGGACAAAAGACTAACCTGAGGCCCTCACATTGAAGACACACAAAAGAAAAGCTACCCTGAGGTTTAGACTTATAAAGAAACTTACTGGAACAAGCTGGGGTACAGATGCCAACACTGTACGACAAGTATTCACAGGATACGTACGACCAAACCTGGAGTATGGCACGGAAGCAAACTCCACTGCAACCTAATCAAACCTATACAAGCTGGACAACATACAGAACACTGGTCTCAGAATTATCACTGGAGGTATGAGAAGCACACCAATCAATGAGCTGGAGGCAACTTCTGGTCTCTAGAGCTTGAGCCATCAAAGGGAAGAAAAGATGCTTACCCTAACAGAAAAATGTAAACGCATGAAACACAACCCCATGCACAACAAAATAGCAAATAACCTAACTAAAAACCAACTGAAAAAACAAAGCTTTCACCATCTATCAAAATTATACTATGCAAAAAACATAGACATCCTTTTCTTAAGATTCTTTAACGTGGGAAATGATCCAGACATACAGCATAGACCTATAGCCTAAATATACAGTCACAACAACAATTCCAGGCATAGACAGAAAGGCTAAGGAATGTGACCTAATACTGCATGCAAAGACACTTGAACATGTCTACAACTCTTACCCAAAACCAGAATGGACACACATATACACAGATGGATCATTGGAGGGAGCAGAAAAAGAAAACCAGAGGAGCTGGATCGGTCATCATGCTGAAAGATGGGACCACAGTAGAAACATCATGAGCCTCCGGAAGACTCTCAACAAACTTCAGAGCAGAGCAGCAAACAATTACTGATTCAGCCAAAGTGCTTAAGAAAAGAAATATTAAACGTAGCAAAATTGTTTTCTTTTATGATTGCATTTCAGTCCTCTAGGCGACTCAGAGGGATCCATGAGACAACAAGGAGAGAGAAGTGACATGCCAGCTAAACAGACTTTTAGAAAATAATAAAATCCTTCTCCAGTGGATCCCAGCTCACTGCGGCATATCAGGAAATAAGTTAGCAGACTTGCAAAAAAAAGGATCTATTCACACACCCATTCACTGACATTACCAGAAATCACAACACTTATTAAAGGAAAATACAAGGAATTGTGAAGAGAACAAACTAACAGTAAACATCCACAAGACTCCATCAGCAGACTCAACAGTAAGCAACATACAACAATTTTCCGTCTACGAACAGCACACTGCAGGCTCAACTACAACATGCATAAAATAAAGACTGTACAGTCCTCACAGTGTGCCTGTCAGACAGGACGATAAACACCTGAGTACATTCTGCAGGCCTGCCCATTATACCTACAACTTCAGAAAGACACCTGGCCTCAAGAGCAAAGTGTGCAGAGCAAGCTATAGGGAACCATGAAGGACCTGCTACTGACATGCGAGTTTATAGAGGCAACCTACCTGATGGTCTGATCTGAGAATATGAAACCGAAAGCAAAGAAGAAGTAATCCCACTTGAACCTGTTGGATATTCTAGCTGTAATCATTCCCATGGGGAACAAACTCTGCCACGGAGCAAGCATAGGAGGCTTCTGATTATATGTCCATGAGGTTCCTATTCCATGAACATTCTGACCACTGATCTTCCTGACATGACTCCCAAATGTGTTTCTCTGGTTATGTTTGTCCCTAGTGTGAAAGCTAGAAATGAAGCCCATGAGCTGAACACTGCTGATTATGTTATCTGAGTTCAGTGGCTTCAGTCATCATCATAAACCACTTCTGCCGTTAAGCGTCGTGGGGAGGAATAATTTGCGATCCAGGGCACGTTGGCTGCCACTGGCTATTGTCATGCCGTGAAGGCGTAGAGTGTTTTTAATGTTGTCGATCCATGTTTTCCGCGGCCATCCTCTTGTTCTTGTAGTTGATCTTCCGAGATGTAGTGCTTGTGATGGTATTTGATCTTGCTGCATTCTAACGAGATGGCCAAACCACTTGATCTGCTGTTTCTCGATGAATCTAGTACAAGGTGTCGTTCCCACAATTTGCCTGATAGTTTCATTATTCACTCGATCTCACATGGTTAGGTTGGCTGCTTTTCTCAGGCACCTAATCTCGCAGGTGGTAATTTTGCATATCTGGGCTTTAGATAGTGTCCATGTTTGGCACTGGTAGCTTAATGTTGGAATTAATATGCTATTAATAATCGTCTCTTGGCACTCATAGTTATGCTTGGATGTCTTAATAATGGTGACAATTGGTATATAAGTGCACTTGCTTTCTGACATCTGGTTTCTATTTCTCTGTAAATTCTACCATCTTCTGTGATCATACTTCCTAGATATTTAAACTCCCTAACTTGATTCAGGGCAGAACCATTCAGCTGTATGTGTAGTGGGGCAGGGGTTGTACTAACGTGCATTGTTTCGATTTTGTTTACATTGATCTTCATATTGTATTTACTACATGCTGAGTTTAACCTGTTAATGTGGTCTTGCAGTCTATGTTCTTCAGGGCAGAACAAGCACTGGTCGTCAGCAAATAGTAGTTCAGTGGCTTCAGTAAATGGCACTAAAGATAAACTGTTGAATGTTGAATTAAGAATCGACATCACAGCACTCAGGACACCACCATTAAGTGCTCCAACCCCATGTCTTCAGCAGCAAGTACCAGTAACTGACTGTATATTCATCTCCCCTTTCCCTTGAGTGTTGAGCGTTGGCTAGATACCCTGATAACTCAGCCGCAGCGCCATTCTTGTCAGACTGTAATGATCTATTTGTGCCTTCTCACTGTTACATGCTCTCAAAGGGCCCTCACAACATCTACTTGCTAGAAGTCAATTCACCACCAAGTGGTGCAGAGCCAGCCAGTCTGCCTGCTCGTTTTCCAACACACCAGCATGACCTGCAGAAAATATCCAAATGCCGCTAACTTCCTGGGACCTCTAAAGCAATAATTGCCACTTTACACGGAGCATGCCTGTCTCCACCTTTCTCAACATACTCTGTAAGTCAGTTACAATTACGACATGTGTAAAGCTGGTAATCAAGCCAGTAGAAAGCTTCAGTGACTGCCTCCACCTCCATTCTCAAACCATACGTGTGATATCATATGCCACATAAGCGACCTTGCCTGCTGTACTAGGAAAACTAACTAAAACTCCAAACGTGTGAAACAAAACTGACTAGATCTAGACAAGACTGCAAACGTTACCTCCAACAGCTGAGCATGTGACAAATGGTTCCTGGGATCAATCTCAAAGATCAAAACATGGTTGACCCCAGATGACCTCCAGCCATATGTGTTGACCCCAAGAAGGAAGAGGTCAAAGATGACCAGAAACATGCCCCGGTACATCTGTAACGCCGGCTCCCAGTCTGAGGAGTGGTCGATGAAGTTTGCTGTGGAATTAGAAATGTGAGAGTAGCCAATAAAGGTGGCTGTGTTCAACAAAAAAATAAATAGAAACAATCAAGATGTTTAGAATAATATTAATCATCTTCAGACAGCATGTGGACTTCAAGTTAGTGCCGCCACATACCAACATGGTGGCATTAGTTCCATCCCAGTAGTGGCTGGACTGCACTTTAGCAAACAAGCATGGCTCAAAGACTGATCCAGCCTAAGTACCAGAAATCCTGCAATGTTGTGGTCACCTTGAGCTCATCTCACATGCTGTTTCAGTTTTCTGACCCCAGTGTGAGGTCAGACAGGTCAGAGAGGTCAACCGGACACATTTTTGTTTGGGCCAGTTTGCACACTTCTGCTCGACTAACACAAACTGAAACATTCATGGTGTTAACAGTGTTCTCTGCTTACAGTGATTACATATATAGGTTTATTGGACATTCATTATGACATGCATTCAACAAACATGTGGCAATAGTGAACAGTGCCGAGGCACAGATAGATCACTACAGACTGAGGAGAATGGCGCCACGTGGAATTACAATGGGATCTGGTTGACGCTCGACACTCAGGGGAAAGGCGAGATAGATATATAATCAGACAGTTACTGGTATCATCGGAATTTTAACTCTTTGCTTGCTGCTGAAGATGGGGACAAAGCCCTTGTGGGGATGTCCGGAGTGCTGTGATGTCGATTCATAATTCAGCATTCAACATTGGCAACATAGAAACTACAGCAAAACACTGTCACTGTTGTCCCACAATCTGGGAGACACACAGCAATGTTCCTAGGAAGTAAAGGCGGCAAGTATGATGCTGACATACAGCAACATTCCTCGTATAATGCAGCTCGTATAATGCTGATACACAACAACACTCCTGGAAAGCAAAGGTGGCTGTTACGATGCTGACATACAGCAACATTCCTGGGAAGCAAAGATGGCCGGTTTGATGCTGACACACAGCAACATTCCTGGGAAGTAAAGGCAGCCAGTATAATGCTGATATAGAGCAACATTCATGGGAAACAAAGGTGGCCAGTATAAGCTTACAGTACCAACCATCCAGTGCCTGTTGGTCTACACACATATAGATCTATCATTGTATGCTCGATGTGTCAATAGCCAGTGAAGGCAGCTGATTTTTTAACCTGAGATGTTGGTGATATCGACAGTCAGTAAACGACAACCTAACTAATATAATGATGATATTGACAGTCAAAGGGTGACCTACCTGAGATGATATTGACAGTCAGTAAGTGACCTACCTGAGATGATATTGACAGTCAGTAAGTGACCTACCTGAGATGATATTGACAGTCAGTAAGTGACCTACCTGAGATGATATTGACAGTTAGTGACCTACCTGACAGTCAGTAAGTGACCTACCTGAGATGATACTGACAGTCAGTAAGTGACCTACCTGAGATGATACTGACAGTCAGTAAGTGACCTACCTGAGATGATACTGACAGTCAGTAAGTGACCTACCTGAGATGATATTGACAGTCAGTAAGTGACCTACCTGAGATGATATTGACAGTCAGTAAGTGACCTACCTGAGATGATTTTGACAGTCAGTAAGTGACCTACCTGAGATGATAATGACAGTCAAAAGGGTGACCTACCTGAGATGATATTGACAGTCAGTAAGTGACCTACCTGAGATGATATTGACAGTCAGTAAGTGACCTACCTGAGATGATATTGACAGTCAGTAAGTGACCTACCTGAGATGATATTGACAGTCAGTAAGTGACCTACCTGAGATGATACTGACAGTCAGTAAGTGACCTACCTGAGATAATGATGACGATGACCAGAACCACAAACATGCCTATGAAGAGACCCATCTTAAAGTTTGTCCATGGATGTTGCTGAAACAGACAACAGACAGCTGTCAACTACCAGAAGGGAGACTTGGCTCTCAGAGACATCTGACTGGCACACTCGACAACACTCTATGACCAAAACCATTCAACATCACATGCAGAGTAGGTCAACTCAAGAGATGACAGACTGTCTTGACCCACATTCACTAATCTCACTTAATCCTCAAGCCATTTGAGTGACAAGAGCCCAAGTCTCTTGAAAATTGCTTTATTTTTAATATGGGCACTTTAACACCCAGGGGATTGAATTGCCCACACAGTTTCATCTAAAATTCTTGAGTTACAGCCCTTGGCATTCCATGGCTATATATTCTCGAAGCCCAACACTGCTCCTCATTTTACTGGCTAGACATCAATGTGGCTGCATCTGGATACATCAGTTAAGTGATTTTTGTGTATACCTGTAGTTTTGTTTGATTTATGTATGTGCTGATGAAGGCTCTATAGCCACAACATTCACGTTTTGTTTGTGTTTGTTATACTGTGAAGCTCGTTTAGTTTTATATCTTTCCATGATCTTGCTTCAGGTATGTTCTTGTCCTGATTGTGCCACTAGACTAAGACAATCAGGTATATGTTTCTGCCTTCTATTTGCTCTTCTTCCATGAAATGTATCAGCTGTTGCCTCATAACATGTCACACAATTCTGGACTGTCTTTGTATCATTTCTCTCATCAGGACCTGGCTTTTGTCTGTTTTTGTAATGTTAGTTAGCTGTTATGAATACCAGCATAATGGAGAAAGTCAGAATAAGACCATGTCTGGATTATACTGACAGACAAAGAATAAAATGGTTCAGCCATTTAGTAAGAATGCAGCCAGACCATACTGCATATGGGACTTTTTACAGCAGAACATCTGAGACAAAGGTGAGAGGAAGACCAAGAAAGAGAAGGATAAATGGTGTAGAGGAAAAGAGCATTAAAAAGTTGACCAAATCCATCACTCAAGCCAACTGAGAAGTGCAAGATAAAATCAGAAAACCATGACACTGGGCTACAACCTGGTATCAGTGAGGCGACAAAAGAAAGAAGAAGAAGTTAGTTGTGAAGTTTGTGGAGTTTGTTAAACTCCTCCATGGAGTTTCTACTAAATATCTGGCAGCGGTCGAGACAGCGATGAAAGGGATATACATTTTCTTTCACTATCCCTGGCGAAGCCGGGCAATTAAATATACTTTCTAGTAGTTACTTTCTGTAAAGACAAGGTTTCTTGGAGTCGCCATCGTGCGTTTGACTTGTCAACACTCAGGCCAACGATACACCTCCCTAATGTGAATATTTTTAGGTTTACAAAATATAGCTCTCACCGCCGAGGCATCTTTTTGGGTTTGGAGGTTAGAAAGGTTTTGCGCACAGAAGAGACCTTTTTTCACACTACTTAGCACAGGGCAGAGAGTTACAGCCGGGAAGGTTGCAACAAAAGGGTTTACAAATCAGCCTGTGTGATGGTTGTCAAAGTTTGTGCCTAGGTGTATCTGTCAGATATTCAACCAAAGATGCAAAAATACCAACCTCATCGCCAAGGGGTGGAACTCTCAATCTTTTCATGGCCTTGGAGCGATCGCCTCCCTCTAGCTCACTTGTCACACTTTGCTGGGGATATTTAGAAGTTGACATCAAATACTGTTCAACAATCAACATGTGGGATTATAGACATTTCACCAACATTCTTCTTCTTTGTCTTCAGCATTCACTGGCTGTAAACTCTGGTGCAAAATTCTGATTGTTCATCCACTTCTGGACTTGTTCAAAAACTGGAGTTTTATGAGGACATCCATTTTTACAGATCTGGCTTATTTGTAGATAGACTGCTAGTTTCTTGCGTCATAAAGATGTACTCCCACTTTCAAGGAAACCCCTAATTAGTCAAATTGTATTACTTGCTTGCTGGGGGAAAGGGGGGGGGGGGGGGGGGGTGAAAGAGGTCTACATGAAAAAATTTAGTTCTACGCAAAATAAAAATACTTCCCACACAATTCTAAAGACAATATAAACACTCCATATAATAAAGTAAACAATCCACCTGGAGCTTATATGATTCATGAAAACTTCTCCGATAGAGTTCTTTAGACAATATAAACACTCCATATAACAAAGTAAACACTCAAACTGGAACTATGTGATTGACATAAACTTCCCACATACAGTTCTAAAGTTAATGCAAATATTTTGCAGAAAGTTCTATAGATAATATTGAACATTTCACAAGAGGCCTATAGATAATATAAACAATTCAAAGTAAGGTCTATTTATACTATACTATGCACACATTTCCCTAGATAACATGACAATTCTGGAAAAAGCTGTGTAGACAAGAAAGAGATTGAGGATTACAAACAATAAATGTGTATATGTCTACTACAACCAATGGTCAGACAAGAAATGTCTAGAAATGTTTAAAATGTCCAGTGTTTTGCAAAATACACATGATGATGATAAAATGATAACACACAGAATGTGTTGGAAGTTGTCAGGTACACACAGCTGTGTGGTGTAGAACACACTCCACACCCACACAAGACTGACTCACCTCCACATCCTAGACAACACACAGCCACACCCACACAAGACTGACTCACCTCGACATCCTAGACAACACACAGCCACACCCACACAAGACTGACTCACCTCCACACCCTAGACAACACACAGCCACACCCACACAAGACTGACTCACCTCCACATCCTAGACAACACACAGCCACACCCACACAAGACTGACTCACCTCCACATCCTAGACAACACACAGCCACACCCACACAAGACTGACTCACCTCCACATCCTAGACAACACGCAGCCACACCCACACAAGACTGACTCACCTCCACACCCTAGACAACACACAGCCACACCCACACAAGACTGACTCACCTCGACATCCTAGACAACACACAGCCACACCCACACAAGACTGACTCACCTCCACACCCTAGACAACACACAGCCACACACACACAAGACTGACTCACCTCCACATCCTTGACAACACACAGCCACACCCACACAAGACTGACTCATATCCACATCCTTGACAACACACAGCCACACTACACCCACACAAGACTGACTCACCTCCACATCCTAGACAACACAGCCACACCACACCCACACAAGACTGACTCACCTCCACATCCTAGACAACACACAGCCACACCACACCCACACAAGACTGACTTACCTCCACATCTTTGATGAGGTGGTCCACCTCTTTGTTGGTGTAGAAGGGGGAAGACTCCACATGGGCTTGCCTCCACTCTGCTCCATGAGTCGTCTGCATCATCTGTCAGACACACAGGAGATCTGAACTGGACTAACATGTCTCAGGGTTTCTATTCTACCTTGTATGTCTACATCCTCTGTCAGACAGATAGGAGATCTGAACAGGTTTAACATGTCTGAGGGTTTCTGTTCTATGTGTCTACCTCATCTGTAGAACAGGCCATCTAACATGTCTAAGGGTTTTTAATTCTACCTAATGTGTCTACCTTATCTGTAGAACAGATTTAACATGTCAAAGGGTTTCTTTTCGACCTGTGAGGTTTTGAACAACGGATCAACATCATGGTACACAGACAGTAACCCATAAGTGCTCGGTTCCTCTTCTAACTCAAGTCTGAGTCCGAAGAAGCTCATCACAGTGCTCTGTTGCACCGGCAAGAATATTGAGATACTTTGTGTAGATTTTTAACTCCATAAAATGTTTGCCCTGGCAGCACGGTTAGGCTACTCTTTTTGATTTCCATCTGCCAAGGGATTTTTTTTAATGTGCACAACAATGCACACGGGTGTCCGATCTCACTACCCAGAGACAAGTGGGAATTACTAGAAGTCCAAGTCCACGTGAAAAAAATCCTAGCCCTTACTGGGGATTGAGCCCAGAACTTCTATCACTCAAGGTGAACACTATGCCTCAAGACCACGCAGCTCCCTCTTTTCTACCTTATCTGTCTACACCTTATGTGTCTACCTCATCTGTAGACTAGGAGATCTAACATGCCTGAGGGTTTCTATTTTAACCTGTGTATCTATCCAAGGTAAAGGCTATATCCGAGTACATACAGAAACTGACAGGGGGAAGGATTTTATACTTCTAAGTCACAGATAAGATGACTAGTTCCCTTGCTCCCCTTGTTAACCTAGAGAAGACAGTCAGGCACCTAGCATGGTCACAATGTTGTTGGTCTGAGACTGGCCATAATAAATGTGTAGGTCGGGTGTTCTAGCCCTGGCTGCTGGGATCAGATCTGGTTCTTTATTAATATCTTACCCCCAGATGACGTCACAGGACAGTCCAACATTTTAGAGGCTGGTAAAACTGGGTTTCCAGGATTTCTGATGCTTTTAACGACCCCAAAACATCTAGAAACTAGCCCTTACCCCAACCCACCTATGTCCCACGAGAGAGGTCCCAAGACTGTGTGCAGCCTATCTACCACCCCCTGAAATATTAGACTGTCCCGTGACCTGTGGATTTCCTATTTGGAGTAGGATATTAATAATGCACCTAAGACCATCTACTGAGATAACCTCTTGATGTGCTTCTGCAATAGCAAACATCCAGCCTCACATGACTTTAGATGATTCAGAGATGTCTCAGCTGGCCAATCAATGTCTCTTTATTGATATT